CACACATACACCAGCCATTTTGTTTAACTGCACTCCATTCCCCCCTCATTTTCTTTTCTTTAAAAAAACATAAACTACAAAGAAAACAATAGTTATACTGCAACATACTTTATATCCCAGTCTGAACAATCTTTGACAACTGATTTCTGAGTGGATCTGAGTAATATAGGTTAGCATAGTATTTCCTGGTTCAGTTTTCCAGGATACTTCTAATTATGTCAGCAGGAATAGAAGAATGGCTATATATTGTGGGGTTTTGTGTTTTTTTTTAATTTTAAGTCAGTGACATCCTGCAGGATAAGAAGGACTTTAAAGATCTGCCTAGGTTGTCATCCATGTCCTTAAAATGACAAATTTGTCTAGCATGTGGTTGGATGTGAGAGCATCTGGGAAACAGTTTGAGAGGCAAAAGGTCTGTAGGTTATTTATTTGCATGCTGGAAATTTGTCCTCAGAGGACCGGAGCATCTTTTTTTCTCTTTTTCCATTTTCATGGCGACATTAGAAAGGCTGCCAGATGTTTTAGACTTTTAGAATTGCAAGCATCTTAGTATGAGACTTCAGAGCAAATTTCCCCAACCTGTAGCTGGGGAAGATGGAAGATGTAGCCCAAAACATCTGGAGGGCACCAAGCTGGGGAGAAAGGCCTGTTTTAAGAATAACTATGACTTTTGCCTGATTCTAAGACCTAAAATAAGATTAAAAGCTCATTCCACCCTTCCCCAAACCCTGCAGCAACATTTTTCAGTGGCCTGAAATGAAGCAATCAATTAAGAAAAGCTGCTTGGCAAAGAGAGATTTATCTGTTTGCCTCCCCAGGGAGGCATTCTTTCAACATTTTAGCATAAGCAGCTTTCTTTCACATCCAGCCTCTCATCCCCTTGGTGGAGGAATCAGGGAGTCTTCCCTAGTACTGTATCTCTGCAAGGTTAGTAGATGGGATATATAAAGTGTTACCAGTTGACCATGTTTGTCTTTAGATCCATGATAGTAAAGAACTCTGATTGTGAATTACCTTCGTAGCTCAACAGTCCAAAGCCTGCGGTGAGCAGAATCAGGTACACTATAAGCACCGTCCAAATGCAGCATGGGGAAACCTTTTTCTGAGATTTTGGTTCTAAAATGTAGGGAAGGAAGAATACACACATAATATGTGATGTCATTTCAGGTGGCAAAGTGTACAGCTGTATAAAGACATAGAATTATACCTAATTATTACTCAGGACTGAAATCCTATTGCACAGCTCTGCCTGCACAACAAGAATAATGTCAGTGGCAGCATCCTATCGCAACTCATTAACGGCTTCTTTTTACAAGTTCAGGGTGCTCAAGGCTCATAATTCAGCATGACAAAGTGGCTGCAGCCCAAAATTATAATTTGTCTTTAATTAGTGCCGAACAGTTTACACCATTTCCCTTGCACAGGTGGATCTCAGTCTCTAGGATTTTAATCAGTAACCTCTAGGACAGAAACAGAAATTACAAGTATGCCATTATTAGAAGAGTAAATTCCTTAACTGGTGAAAGTGTCTGAGCATCACAACAGGAGCTTTTCTTACTTCATGTAATCTCCAGATTAGCTTACTTTGTTTTGTGGCTGGTCGGCAGGACTTAAGCATAGGATTCCTTTGAAGGAATCTGATTCTTTGGGGCTGAATTACACAGTACAGTTAATATGAAAAAGCAGAACTCCATTGAGAGGAAAAGACTCGATCTGTTTATTAAAACTTTGAAGTTGCCTTTGTCTACATTTGGTAGTTTAGTCTGCCTTCTTTTCTTAAAAAAATGACATTGAGAGAAAAGCATGGCTTCTCAGGCACATAGCTCTGAATGATTTATATTCATGGAAAGATAATAGTACAAGAGGAGGAAATGCACCTTTGCATTAGCCTGTCATGTATTCCTCAAAACTAAAAGTCTGTTTGAATCATGTCTCTCCAATGCCAACCTGTTCTAGTGACAAGTTTCAACGGTCAAAATCTACTTGGGAAAAACTGCACATATAATGGCAATTACACAGTGATTCCCCCTCCCTTGTTGCTTGCTGTGCATTGCACACTGAGCACAACTGTTTCTCAAACCAGAAGAAGGTGAGAAACACAACAGACACTGAGCAGCAGAGATAGGCACACTTGCCTAATTGCTCATTTGCAGTGTGCATAACCACCAGGTTTGTGGCCAACATCTGTTCCTGCCCTTAATAACATGAGGTGCATTAAGCTGCTTGTTAAGTTATCAGGGAACTATTGGGCAATCAGGCTGTGAGGTGCTGCTGTTTTAAAACCTGTTGCACATTGCTTTATTTCAAGGCAAAGCTCAACTCCATTTCTCATGTTCTCATAACCTTGAAACACCAGTGTAGATGTAATCTATGCTTGTTTATGTCGAAGCAACGTCTTCTACTACTATAAAGTGTACATCAAAATACAGTCATGCTGTTGGAGTCAATGAGATCCCCTGCTTCACTGTAGTTTTGTGTCGTCTTTCATTATTTCATATTCCATCCAGGTAACTGTGTTCAAGCAACACCAATAAAGCCTCTTTTAAGAACTCACTTCTTCAGACAGGCTTTTAATAACCTGAATGCTGGTTTTTATGTTTTTAGCCAATGTGTTTTAGCTACTATTACTGTATAATGTCATTGTTTTTAAAAGTACAATTTATTGTGTTTTAGTTTTATTTTTTTAACATTGTGAGCTGTCTTGAGTCTCCTCATTGGGAGAAGGGCAGCCTATAAACGAACAAATGAACGAACAAATGAACAATCAATCAATCAATCAATCAATCAATCAATCAATCAATCAATCAATCATCAAACAACGCAGGTTTCTAAAGGCTAACTTAAAAACAATGCTCCCATGGACTATTGATATATGTCTATTGGTGTGGTTATTATGTAGTCCTCAAATCTTGTACTGAATTCAAAATAATTTATGGTATTTATTAATAAAGTAAGCGGAACAAAAATGACTTGATGTATTTCGTTCCTTTCAATACATTTTGGGGATGCTCCAACAGAGGATCACATCCTGGCTCAGCGTATCCTGATTCCTGCTCCCTTCTCTCCCTGCCCCACCAGGTTAAACAGATTAAACTGTGTTGTGAACACATACCGCACAATTTCTGGGACTGAATCCACTAGCATTGACTGAAAAGAGAGCTTGTGCTGATAGTGCCATTTGAAATGATAATGATAACGATGACAAAACGATAATAAATCAAGCAACAAAACACTATCTAAACTAAAACTTGGTCCTCTTTATTTCTGTTCAGACCACAAATGCAACAACTCAATTGCATCCAGTACTAATTCTGCAAGTAGAACAGGAATTACTGATGAATGTCATTCCTGCATATCTTATAGCGACTCTCATCTTCTGGAGCATTGCAGTGAGCCTCCAGAGCAGATGTGGGGGACATGTGAGGGACTGCAGAGGTGCGGGAGATGTAGGAGCTGAGTTCCATTCATGTATGTAACAAGAGGTCTAGCTCACTGTATTTAATGAATAGTTTCTGTGGGGCACAAAGATGCAAGCTAAATCGCAGCCTGATTAAACCAAAATAGAACACTTGCCTGTAGGTGGAAATAGCTGCATACAAAGTACATATGCTTTGCACGAAACAAAGAACTATATCAATGTGTCTAACATATCCCTTTTCTCAGTGAAATAAATGTGCTGTTAAGTATTTTGCTGAAAAGTATGATGACTGAAATAGGGACATGCCCTTCTCAGCTGATATGAAGCATGAATGAGTTTAAAACCTGGCTGGGAACAGAGTTAGCAAGGAATGCTTAAGGCAGTCCCTTACCCCATAATTCCATGCAAATTTAAGTCAGAAGCTTATTCATTGAAGCGTATTTCCTAGTACACGTGTTTCAGGATTGTTTGTCTAAGTCATGAAAATACCGTATACCACTGCATTTATCATCATTATAATTTAGGTAATAGCTTAGTGACTTGAGTACCACAATTTGGGAGTTAGGTTCCCCACTGTGCCTCTCAGGAGAAGACCCAACCTCTGTAGCTTTCGTCAAACTGCATGGTCCCCAAGCACTGACAGAAGAAGGGAATAAATAATAAACCATTTCTGAAGGTTATAATGTGGAAACCCTGTCAAGGGCTGCCATTGCTTCGAATCAACTTGATGGCACATAATTATCGATGTTGTTGTTCTGGGGTTTTGGGGCTCTTTGGCCATGTTCTGAAGGTTGTTCTTCCTGATGTTTCACCAGTCACAGAGACTGGCGAAACGTCAGGAAGAGCAACCTTCAGAACACGGCCAAAGAGCCCAAAAAACCCAGAACAACCATTAGATCCCGGCCATGAAAGCCTTCGCGAATATATCGATGTTGTGTTATGCAGTTAAAAAATCCAATTAATCCTTTTAAAATTAAAAGAGTATTAAATATTCCCTGATAACAGGCTTCAAAATGCCTTGCTTTTCCAAGGCTATCTCATTATCAGACAGTGAAAATACATTACCACTGATCTCAAACGCCGTGACCCCAGGTGATACAAATCTTCGCGTATCTGAAAAGGTGAGTGTCTCGCAGCCACTGAAAAGTCCATTGTCTTTGCCGCTGCCTGAGTGGTCCATGACCAAATTCTTGTGGTAAACTGCACACACAACAGAGTAAGCTTAGATACTGAAGAAGAAGCAGAAGAGGTGGAGATTTCCAGCTCAGTGGATATGCTTACAGTTAGATGTGCATTTCCTATTGACTAGGCAACTTTTTGTACTATATTTGCAAAAAAATAAAATAAAATAAAAAGGTCTGTTTTAGCACTTCTTCCAAAGCTTCTTACATAGGTTTCTCAATGGATGTCTTAATACTGAAAGTAAAGCAAGATATTTAAAACCTAAGGACCTTATTCTGCAATCTGAACTTTAGCTGTCATCATGAATTCCACTTAGGTCACTTTCTGGTAATAAAGGCCTTGCTGTTGGACAAGGTTATTCTGCAGATTTCATACAAGTCGTGTGGAGAAAGAATGGATCTGGCAGATTTACAAGTACAGTAATTGTATTCATACCACATTTTTCTTCCCAAGCTTCTCCACCATGCACTAGCCTTGCCCTCACTATCTTGCCATGAACTCCATCATCTTGATATACCATAGGTTGTTATGGCTTCCAAAAATTGGGGGGGGGGATGAAATGGGGAGGGGCTTTGCCTTCCAAATCTCTGGGTGCAGGGAAGATGTATCCCAGAACAGACGCCTGTGAAGAACTATTGGTACAAGTTATTGTTACTTGTGTGGCCTCTTTCAAGAACTTTAGAGAGTGCAATTGGTAGCTGGAAGGCACGAGGATCATTTGTAAAAATATTAGGGCCTGACCAGCCATGCCACTTATTTTCTGCCACTTCTTGCATTTCCTCTTGGATCCCAAGGCTACTGTTTGTTCTGTGTGTCCACTCAGAAGGGACCTTTTATTCTTGTTTCCTTATATTTCTCTGCACACACACAGGGTGCAAACAAAAATCACAGAGATGATTGTTCACTCACATCAGCTACTCTGCCTGCCTCATTCCCTTCCTCAGCTGATTTTTCCATCCAGTTTTCCACCCATTCTTCCACCCTGTCCAGCGCCACCTGAGGCTATCCACTTTTTCTGCTCTAGTGCAAAAGTGACTTCAAACTCCACTATGGTAAAGACTTCACTGTGTATATTTGGCATATATAGTTGTTGCTCAAGTTTCCTTTAAAAATTGTGATCAATCCAGCACTAAAAAGTACTAGCACTGAACCAAATATGGACAGTAAACAATGACTGTAAACAAACTGAATTATCCATTCAGTCATAACCGATCCTTGGTGATTCCATAAGCCAACTCCAATCTTTTACAGCTTCTTTCAGTTGCGTTGTATTTTGGACAGTGTCTGCTTTGATTACATCCAATCAACGCATCCTTTGGCATCCTCATCCTTTTTTATCACTGGCCATTCCAAGCGTAACATCTTTCTCCAATGATGTTGATTGCATGGCATGGACAAAATAATCAAGTCTAAGTTTTGTTATTTTGTCTCTCAGCGACATGCCCGGTTTTATGCACTTCAACACTTCTTTATTGTGGGATGCTACATTTACTGAATTGAGGTGAATTTTTCCGAGAGAGGTCCAGAAGGAAAAAAACAAGAAACTGGGCCTTCTCCGTGGTAGCTTCTCACCTCTGGAATAATCTTCCCCCTGAGATCCATGCGGCCCCTTCGCTGGGCATCTTTAAAAGCCAGTTGAAAACCTGGCTGTTTAGATAGGCCTTCCCTTCAGTTATTATTTGAGTTACTTTCTCTTATATCTTTCTATCTTGAATATTTTGATTACTGATGTCTATAAGGTTGCTAATATTTTATATTGTTTTATTATATATGCTGGAAGTTGCCCAGAGTAGTCAGTTGACTAGATGGGTGGGGTATAAACACAATAAATAAATAAATAAATATAAATAAATAAATTTGTTTTTAAGTGTTCTTTATACTGTTTTTTTTAATATAGTTGTTTTGTTTTCTTTTTTTCCCATCTTGTTTCATTTTAAATTGTGTTTAATATGTTGTTTCAATTGATTGTGAACCATCTTGACTTACCTATGGGGAGAAAGGTGAAATATTAAATAAATGAGTGAATGAGTGATAGACGAGATAGAGAGAAGGAGAGAGAAGGAGGGAGGGAGGAGGAGAAGGCAAAAATAGAGTCCGAAAACACAAAAGAAAAGGAAAGCAAAACAAAAGACCTACCAGCACGACAGATTCAACAGAATATACTGGATATTCACAACAAAAGCTCAGATGTATTTGGTATAAGCAAAAACACTCTATGTTTAGCCAACGTAATGCTAGCCCATGACTATAGCAAAACTGGTTGTATCTCTGGTGGCACTGTAATAACAAACTGCAGCCTCCCTCATCTTCACCTGTGTTATTTCCTGTCTGTTCCTCCATTTTTGTTTCAGGACATGAAAACCTGCTGCAGGGATTCAAAGTCTGATGAAAACTTCCACCATTCATGTGTGAGGAGCTCTACATGAAAAGTGTGAGATTTGTCAACTCACGAGGCTGGCTCTCTGTGACTGCAGTTCAAAATGTCCACAGCTGCTTCCAACACCATGGTACCTAGATTTCTTCCCCCTTTTTGATCACATTGCTGTCACCACAGTCCTTTGCTCTGTTTGGTCAGAGAGGTGCAGGTTTGAAGGAAAGATGGAGTCTCTGAGTGTTAGGAACAGTGGTTCATCGTACCTTAAAAACTGCTGAAGAATTGGAGTTTGTTTCTCTTCTCTAACAGTTTTAACATTTGCCTCTGCTATCCTTCAGACAGTCTACATTTTGGATTGGTCACCAGGACCCTGAAAAATAATCACAGTAAGAGATTTCTAAGCACTGTATTGGACCTTCTCCTCATCATGTCAATGGTAGCTTAGTAAAGCTAATTGCACATTGTTAAATTAATAGTATGTATTAAATATGATGCTATTTAAATGTGCTCAAGATATAGAGATGGGCATAAATTGAGCTGTCCCAGTCCTGGGTGAGTTGTCCTCATACCGAGGTATACAGAATATACAGGTCTTGTGCAGACAAGGTGCCTACCTTCCCTGCACATTCATCTATTCCTCAGGGAATGAGCATTTCCCTCCCTACCCCCCCCCCAGTGCAACCGTCCACTCACCTTTGGCAGCCAGGTCTTTCATCTTCTGCTTTCTCCCTCAGCTGGCCTCACAAAGGCAGCTCCTTGTTTATGTTTCATCTTTGTTGAGTTTCCAGCAGGCAGGTGAAACTTGGTTGTTCCAGAGGACCGGTGGTCTCTAGGATGAACTTTAGAACTAGTATGTGAAGAATATTTTTTTTCTAGATCAAATCAAGGCTGAACTATCTCTGGAGGCAAAAATGCTGAAACTGAGGCCGTCTTACTTTGGACTTATTGTGAGAAGGCAAGGCTTTCAGGGAAAGACAATAATGCTGGGAAAGGTTGAAGGCAGCAGGAAAAGAGGAGGACCACATATGAGATAGACTGATTCCCTAAAAGAACCACAGGCTTGAGTTGGGCTGCTCTAAAATGCAATTTGCATGTAATTTTTTTTCTGAAGGCCAAAGTAAGAAGGCTGATTCCTCTTTTTCACAGAACATCTGGCAGGACTTCCCCAGTGAAAGGACATCGGATTTAGTAAGAGTTCAGTAGCTTGTGCTGCCCATTATTTTCCACAGAGTTCAAGGAATGGTGTCCAGCACTGGCTTTCTGATTGTGTGTACTGGCAGCAATGGATGTTGTTCCACTAATAAGGACCACCTTACCTGCTTTCTTTTCTTATCTATGGCTCTAACAGATTAGTTTGTGAATGCTTTCGACCAATGCAGCTCTAAATTAATTACTTAGCTAAGTAATGACAATTAGAAGGGGGGTGACAGGGGAATCGACCAAATTGATTGGTTACACAGAGGAGAACGCTGATCAAGCCTGGCCTGTTTCATCGACAGTGATGGAGGAAAGTGGTGAGGAAATGATTTGCAGAAGCCTCCACCCCTCCTGCCAATGCCTTGGTTTTATAACCATGCTTCACAGAAGGTGGATCGACAGAGTGGATATTGAATGAAGCCAAAGAGAAAGCAAGACATCCTTCCTTTATTTTGCAAGCGTCTCTAACATGGCTTTAGAAGACAATGGAAGCAGTGCACGGATCCAGTCGGCACACCGAGGTCAAACAACGTTGCTGCTGAACCTGCGATCCAGTAACACAGATAGGTGTGCACAAAACCCAAAGGAGATAAAATTTCCTCTTTGGAAATACAAGTTCAGAACCAAATCAAATCTGAACTGGCGCTCACTGATGTGCTGTAGAGAGATGGGGGCTGTAAAAAGAAGTGGGAAGTAAACAGCAGAGAAAATGTTAAGACAATTTCCTTTACTTGACACAACAAACCTACTCACTTCAGCCCCGTCTCTCATATAACAAAGTCACTTTCATTATGCCTAATTGAGGTTTTCATTGAGGAAAATGATAATATTACATGTATTTTAACGCATGTTATTAATCTAGGCACATATTGATAATGTTTGTGTTACTTTACTTTTATATCACACTTAACCAATATGCACAGGGTGTTATATATGGCTCTCCCCTCCTGATTTCATCATTATAACAATCCTGTGATGGAGACCAGGCTGAGAGATAGTGAACAAGCCAAGGTAACCTAGTACATTTCATGACTCAGTGGCAACTTAAATATGGATCTTAGCCTCCAATGTTTCTGTCTTACTCTCTAGTCCAGTGGTTCCCAATCTTGACTAACCTAGGTGTTCTTGGACTGCAGTTCCCAGAAGAGTTCAACACCAGCTGTGCTGGTGGAGGTTTCTGGGAGTTGCAGTCCAAGAACACCTGGGCTACCCAAGATTGGGAACCACAGCTCTAACCACTACACTTCCTGATGCCAAAGGAATATATTTTTCTTAAAAGTGCAGATCTATGTTTGCATATATAAGAAACATGGACCATATTTGCGACATTCCTATGCTGTCCTACCTGGGAGTAAGCCCCTATGAACATACAGTAGTAAGATTTGGTTTTGCTTAGGATAATACTGTACAGCTAATTTTTGATTGGCATAGGTTGAATTCACATATGCATTCACTGTCTAGAGATTGTGATTGACAACTTGTATTCATTCATTCATTCATTCATTCATTCATTCATTCATTTATTTATTTATTTATTTATTTATTTATTTATTTATTTATTTATTTATTTATTTATTTATTTATTTATTTATTTATACCCTGCCCATCTAGTCAATTGACTACTTTCTATACATATGGGCCATCACTGACCAGGCAGAATTTCCATATCACCTTAATCTCAACTCAAATATGGACCCTACTCAGTGGAAACGGTGTTTACAAATTTAGTGGCAGATCACATGTGCAGTGGATCAATCATCAAGCAATAGGAATTTGGGTTACAGTCAACGTTCCCTTTAAAGGCTCCTCTTCTTGCACACAGGACTCCACTGCCCCCATGTACATGACTGCCCCCCCCCCGCACAAGGTTCCATCATGACGGGAACCAAAGGGGCTGGATATTATCACTGTTGTTGTGCAGAAGAGTTGGAGCTCTTCGTGGAGGGGAACAGAGTCACGAGCACTCACTCAACTGCACACCTAAACAGAACTTTGATTATGTTTATTGTATGAATCAGGCTGTTAAGGGTATTAAAGAAATATCTTCTACATACTTTGGCAGTACTGTACATCTATGTATTCTGTATATAAAATATTAGGTGGATGTAATTACACAGTTTCAATAACAACGTAAATTATGTACCATTGGGACACAATTTTTAAAAAAGTCTCCCTTTCTCAAGGATTTGAATATGAATTTATAGAATGTGTGCTGGTGGGCAAGGGGAGGGGATGAAAACTCAATGTTAATTGCAAATGGTGGTATTTTGCTTTTCCTGTTGGGTGTTCTTACAAAATCCATTCTCTCTTAGGCAATTACAGCAAACAGACTAACTGCAGTTGTGAAATAAAAGACGAAATAAAGGAAGGAAGGAAAAGTGCTGAAACTGTGTGAGAATCTGGATGGAGGTCTTGCGGAAGCAGAGTTGAACATCATGGTGGGTGTGAAAGTGAAGATAACCCTGTGGGAAAGAGAAACCTTTCTTTCTTTGTATCAGAGTCTGGCACAACTCAAAGTCATGGAAACACATGAAATGTAGGCAAAATCAAAAACCAATTAAAATGTCAAGACAATCAGACTATTGTTTGTTTCAGGGAATTTTAGGTGGGCTGCTCTGTGATGGTGCTGTGACTGTGTCACCCCTGGAAAAATTTAGTTAGTTAGTTTGTTGTTATTTGGTTGGTTCGTTGGTTGTTGGTTTTTTTGACCGAGAGTACTGAATTCCTGGCCAGCATAGTCACTGGCCAGGGTGGTTAGAAGATTCTGGGAATTGTTGCCCACAAAAGATAACTTTTCCGAACTCTGAATTCTGTACACAACTTGTGCTCTAGAAGTCCTCCCATGAAGCATAACATGGCAGACACTTTCAAGGTTTCAAGAGAGGACAGCTGATTATAGGAACCAGGATTCACTGTACTACAGTTTTACCAACAGGGCTGGGAAGAGGTACTGGTGAGATTTTCTGACTCACATGCCAAAATTAATTTGACTGGTCTACAGTATAATGACCCTTGAGAGGGGGAGCAGGGCTCCATTTGCTGCTCTGCCTTAGGCATCAAAATGCTTCAAATTGGCCCTCATCAGACATATATGGCAGCCTCTTAGGAATTCATCAGACCTTTTCATCTGCCCTGTAGAGCAGTGGTCCCCAACCTTGGGCCTCCAGATGTTCTTGGACTTCAACTCCCAGAAATCTTGGCCAACAGAGGTGGTGGTGAAGGCTTCTGGGAGTTGTAGTCCAAGAACACCTGGAGGCCCAAGGTTGGTGACCACTGCTGTAGAGAACAGCAAAAAGAGAGAAAAACCTGTTGCCAAACACCTAAGAGGCTACAACATGTGATTAGTGGGCTACATTTAGCTTAATGGCTTAAGGAGGCTATATGAAAGGAATTCTCCAGTCCTCTTAAGGCAGGGGTCTCAAACATGCGGCCAGGGGGCCATTTGCGGCCCGCTGGACAATAGTTTGCGGCCCCCGCCTTGCCTGCCCCCCGAAACGCCCATGCGTCCTCTGCTGTCAAGAGTCAAAAGAAGCCTCGCTCTCCAGCTCTCTCCCAAGACAGCGCCTCTTGCACTCTCCAACCGGAACTGCAGCCTGCCAGCCAGACCGTCTGGCTAAGGAAACTCCTGGGCAGTTTCCTTGGGCTCTTGCTCCGCTTGGTGGAAAATATGATGCGGCTCAGCCTCACCCAGACTCTGTCTCCAGCGGCCCCCAGGTAAATTGAGTTTGAGACCCTTGTCTTAAGGACTGAAGGTTAATCACCATATTTTCAGTGTGATTTTTTGAAAAAAAAAAGTTCTTCTGATTTGCAAAAGGTGTATACAATCCCATTACTTCACTTGAACACTGAAGAGAGCTGTTTATTAGCAATACACACTACAGTCAGGTCAAAGTTTCTAAGATCAAGGAAGGAATGCTCAGTGTTGTTATGGTTGACTGATATGTTTTTCCTGCACACAAAAGACAGAGGAGTGCTGTCATTGTATTCCTTGCTTCTTAGTGGTTTCAGATATGCTTTCTGATGGCCATTCTGAGGAAAAGCTGAGCCAAACTAGTTGAGGGAAGACTTTGTCATGATATTCTTCAAGGGCAAGGGTCAATGAACAAAAAAAGGAACCAGATGGCCATGGCCAGATGTGAAGTGTTATATATTCTAGGGTGAAATCAATGTTTGTGAGAAAATTTGGGAGGCCCTTAGTTATTGGGAACCAGATTTTGTCCTAAGAAAAGAAGTTTGATTGCAAGGATAAAAGAGAACAATGTGGTTGGAAACTGGGTTCATTTTCAGTTCACTCCTTCTTGTTCTGCTTGTTGTATTCCAATACGCTTTCTTAATCACGACACCTTGCTTGCTTTGCTACCTTTTCGCTTTCATATGTTGTTTCCCTCGTGAGGTATTAAATCAATCTGAACTGATTCTTCCTCTAAAGTACCTTAAAGTGAAGGGCTTTAGGTCAAATGTAAAACACATACATTGCTATTAGAAGGTCCCTGGTTCAATCCCCAGCGTGCCCAAGCAGGGCTAGGAAAGAATCCTGCTGGAAACTGTGGAGAACTGCCTGTCAGTCAGTATTGACAGTGCTGGGCTGGATGGATGAATGTTTTGACTCAGTATAAGGGGGCTTTCTATACTTCCTATGTTATATTCCCTGAAGTTCACATATCTTTGGTTTTCTGATTTCTCAGAGTATGGTGAATGGACTGTATCTTTTGCTCACAAGTAACCTTCCTGTCCAAAAAGACTCAGCAAAAGAAGATGTGAGGCTTATCCATGATCAGTTCAGTGTTTGAACCTGGGG